TTTTCTGCTGATATCAGTTATGCAAAGTTTCAGAATACATCATAGCAAAGTCTTGTCATTATCGGCTGTAATATCGTAATTATTAATTGAATCAGCTCGGTGATTCTTACAACAAATCACACCGTCAATAGGGACTCTATCCGCATCGCGGAGCTTTTTGAGGTATTGGCAATTATACCATATGACGTTTTGAATGTGATTCTTAGATACGGAAATCAATAATACCTGCTGTGTAGATTATATAGTCAATATCAAGGTGGGAGGATATTTTGCTTATTGCTTATATTGCTTCCCAAACAATATTTATATGTTTACTCCAAACAAAGAAAATACAAATAACCTAGCTAGTTTCATCGACCTGCAGAGAACACTTTGTCATTCAGGGTGAAATGGAGGATGTAGGGAAAGGCATTTTATTTCTTGATGACCTTTTTCATTATCAACAACTTGAATTATTTTTTGCTAAACATACGACACCACTATTCGCATGCTTTAGTCAGCCGTCCGTAAAAATCATGTGAGCCGAAAGCTCCTCGCGAGAAATTCGTGTTTAGTACATTTTTTTTTCTTTCCCATGCCTTGTTCGCCATGTACCGGTACAACGGGAAAATGGTATGCATGAAATGAAAATGGAAAAACGATGCGAGGAAAGTCGGAAAATTGTACTTTGGAGTACACCAAAAGATTCCTCACATTCTTACGAATCCTTTAGTATATAATTATCTGGTACTTTCGAATAAAGATCACGAGCTATCAGAGGGGAAAGATAGAACATGGTGTTTACACATTTGCAATCACGTGGCCGGAATTGGGTGGTCTTCATGTCGGAAAAACAACCCAGTTTTTTTGTGGGTTGAATTTTCCCAAAAATTTTCCAACTATCATGTTGCTAGAAAGTTATGCTAGAGCGTAGTGTGCTTCGATTTTTCGATTAGCTTATTTTTCTAGCTCATTTTCGAGGGTTTTCCCAGATGTTCTAAAAAATCCCAGCAAGGGAATAATATCAATAATACTTCCAGACGGGGGCCTTAAATGAATTTTTTTGGAATTCATCAGAATTATCAAATGAAGGAAAAGGTTCCAATTCTTATTTTGGGCGACCGCTAATACTACATGTCCAGGCATAACTGAATCTCCGTCCTCTCGATACTCTGCTCGGGTTGCTTTGGCCAACTGAAGGTGCTTTTGGTATTTTTCGCATATAGCACAAGAGCTATTCGGGGCTGAAACCTCTGCTGAATGTCTAGACGTTTTTATATGCTGCATTGCTGAAATACATGTCTCACACTCTTCATGTCCCAGTTTGACCATTGAAATATTCATCTTTTTCAGTATTCGGCAGTAAAACTGGTAGCTTACATCAGTCTCGTGTGTTTGGTTATAGTTCCGGTGCATTTTCTTGATAGATAAGTCCGACGGCAATTACAACCGATTCGGAGCGTGGGCACGCCGGTAATGCGAAATGGTCGGATTGTACTTAGCGATGTGTGCTTTGACGCTTCTACTCTTTTCAGTGCTACGCTCATATTTGCATTGTTTTAGAGCCCTTGGTCCAATTTCTTCATCATCGTCAGCATCACCTACCATCCGGTAGATAATGTTTCTGTAACATAAAGGAAATAATTTTTTTTTTCCTTGATTTGTTTTCCGTCGATCTTGTTTTCCGTGCACCAATGCTATCGACGCCAGAGAGGCAGCTCCCACATCTGGGCCCTACCTATCGACCCATCAACTCATGAACCGTTCCCTTCCGAAGGAAGGCGTGATCAGAGATGTTATGCCTCAGAACATCCCGGCGTCGCCGACTGGGATTGAACCCAGGCCTGCTGGGGTGAGAAGTAATCACGCTTACCACTACACCACTGGTACCGCTTAGAAGAAATAATTAATGCATTAAGTTTAATCCTATTCCATATTATTGTCAGTAAACTCCTACCCGCCGTGTTCCCCGTATCCCAAAGTATTTAGAAAGAACTTTCTAAAAATAAGGGGTGCTTCATCACTAGCCAGCGTTCGAATATGAACATTGTACGAGTGGTACTTTCGCAAAGTGTCATCGATGAATACATTACGACTCCGCCTTTGTACGGTTGTACGCAGAACTCGTTCTCGGATGAAATGCTTCTGACCAGCAGCGTCCAAACTCCAGAAGGTTTTATTCATATCAATCCTGACATCTCTGCAGACCAAATTGCCGCACTCTTTACTGCACCCGCAATCTTCCCAAATTACGACATGAGCGGAGCGTCGTCTTTCCGCAACGTCACGCTTCCGGATTTCTTTTTTCGTGCTCTTATTCTGCCTTCCAGTTGTCTTCCTTTCATTTGAATCTGACTCGATATCAGAAGATCTGCTATCTAAATCATCTACCAGTTTTGCTGAACCATCTCCCGCTGACTCGTCACTTGGGTCCTGCTCTTGCTCCACGGACGGCAAAGTAGCGAAATACGACCGAAAACGTTGTAGTTTCTCCACATCATTACACGAAAACAATTCACCGTCTTTGGTCACCACATCAAATCCACTGCACTATTCGTCGGAACTTTCATCACTACTTCCACCGTAAATCTGGATTAGATTCAAAGCGGACGTCATGATTTCGTTAAAAGGAACGGTAAAACCGAGCGGTCCTTGACAAATTTAGTTTTGTTTTGATTCAAGCTGGTAGTATTTGACAGATGCCTACCATGGAGCGTTGAAACAGAGTGGGACTGGAATGCGATTATTTTTGTGAATGACGGGCAAAATAACCGCATATCAGTCCCAGCGCGGTTTTCTTCGAATAACACTTTTGCTTTTTTAATTTATTGATGCAATAGAAATAAAGACATAATAATGCACGTAAATGAACAAAAGATTTTATTTATATCATGCGACACATATATGTACGTTAAAACATATGATTCCAACTTAACTTGCTGTTTTCTCGGTTTGCTGTTTTTACATATGGGACTGATATGCGGTTACAGGCAGTATTGATACACAGTACAAAGTCGTTCGACACCCTAGATAAAGTTTGGGGTTATGACTTTTTATGACATTTAGCGACGGCCTTCGTTAAAACCTTGCATTCGTATTTGTTTGACCAGTGTGTACGAACAAAGTGGTTCCTATCGAAAAATTTCATAATGAAGACTTTGCTAGAAAAACTTTGTAAATATATACCGCGATATACGATAAAGAAGGGAACATGCTCTTCTTTTAATATATGAAAGAGAACATAATTAATTCGTTAAATATATGATAAAGAAGGGAATATTCCCTTCTTTGAAAATATAACAAAAGGAAATAATTAATTCTTTGGATAAACGATAAAGATGGGAATATTCCCTTCTTTTAATGTATGAAAGAGAACATGATTAATTCGTTAAATATATGATAAAGAAGGGAATATTCCCTTCTTTGAAAATAGATTAAAGGAAATAATTAATTCTTTGGATATACAATAAAGAAGGGAATATTCCCTTCTTTGAATATATAAAAGAGAACATCATTAATTCGTAAAATATATAATAAAGGTGGGAATATTCTGTTCTTTGAAAATTTAAGAAAGGAAAATCATTAATTCTTTGGATATACGATAAAGAATGGAATATTCCCTACTTTAAATATGTAAACCATATGATAAAGAAGGGAATATTGCCTTCTTTGAAAATATAACAAAAATAAAGAATTAATTATTTGGATATAGGTACGATAAAGAAGGGAATATTTCCTTCTTTGAATATATAGAAGAGAACATCATTAATTCGTTAAATATATGATAAAGAGTTCTTTGGATGCATGATAAAGAAGGGAATATTCCCTTCTTTGAAAATATAACAAAAGGAAATAATTAATTCTTTGGATGTACGATAAAGAAGGGAATATTCCCTTCTTTGAATATATAATTCGCTAAATATATGATAAAGGAGGGAATATTCCCTTTTTTGAAAATATAAGAAAAGGAAATAATTAATTCTTTGGATAAACGATAAAGAAGAGAATATTCCTTTCTTTGAATATATAAAAGAGAAAATAATTAATTCTTTGAATGTATGATAAAGAAGGGAATATTCCCTTCTTTTAATATATAAGGAAAATATATTATCAATAGCTTTTCGCAAGGGATTCGGGGTAATGACCATTTGGAATAATAACGAGTGGAATAATGTTATAAATTTGTAATCGGTAGTTCAACATTCCATGCACCGATTTTTTAATCCATCACGAGAAATTCTTCAACTCAAGTCGAACATTTCTTCGATAAGGTTTAACCGTTTCCGACTGGTTGAATTGGATTGCATAATAGACCCTTTGACTTATTAAATGATGAACGAAGTGCTCGAAAACTTGAAGGTTGTCAAAAAAAGGTTTGGAATTGATAAATACATAATTCCATAAAAGTAAACACAGTGTATTATCAATAGTAAAAAAAAGAAAAGTGAAAATTACTAATTTCATCATCTTTTCTGGGGAATGGTACATTCTGGGGAATGGTACATTCTGGGGAATGGTACATTCTGGGGAATGGTACATTCTGGGGAATGTTTTTCTGGGGAATGGAATTCTGGGGAATAGTTTTCTGGGGAGATTTGCAGATTCGGAGAAATGGTACATTCGGGAAAATTTGGTTGGTTTTCGGGGAAAAGTCGTACAATCGTTCACATCAACGTTGATTCTCAGAGTGAAAACATGGATAACAATCTAAGGCCAGCTTCCTCTGTTAACTCAAAAGCGATGGAAGAATCACCGAACCTTAGGAGTGTTGTTTCGGACTCAAATTGGCTGCTGACAAACAACCAACCACGACGCTACGCTAAGGAAGGACATTCAAACTGAAGGCTATGTATAGCCCATGAAGATAAGTATCATTCCTTGGTTAATAAGCATTACTAATAAAATAACATTGATGATTAAAATATAAAATAAATACTATCTTGAGTAAAAAGGGGATGTGATAGAGTGGGTCACTCATATATACATAACTATTGATGTGAATTGCAGAGTGAGCTCAGTCTTGCTTAGTTCGGCAATGTGTCAATTTCGGAAATATTTTGAACATGAAATGTTTTCATGTTCAAAATATATTGAGGGCGGCACAAAATCAGTTGAAGCTTTTCTCTCGTTGGACGTGATTTAAACATAGAACTGTGCAGCACACAGGAAGTTGCTTACAATATCATATGGGGTTTTCACTTACCATTTCAAGATTGGTCATCGTATCTGATACTTTCTTAGATGGTGTCGTTTGTGATGCTACGCCAATAGCCAGCTTTACCTCCTCTTGGCGTTCTTTAATGTCCAATACTCGCTTAGTGAGTTCTACCTCATTGTCTTTTGTGAGAGGTTTTGCCAACAAATCACCGATACGTTTGAGCACTTTGGATGAAATTTCTTCCAAATCAATGGCTTTGAGATGAGAGAACTCATTGGTAGAAGAATCACTGTCATTCAAACTCATTTGTAGCCGTATATCATTGTTGAAACATTTGAAATTTCTAAAAAAAAAAAAACTAAATTTACATGCATGAGTGAATTTATGTACATACCTTGAGTTTTGAACTTCCTTAAATCTATCCCGCAGTCGTGCTTGAGTGTCCATTAATCGTTGGGTAAGAAGATTAGATTTGCCATGTGTTTCCAGGATCAGTGTGTCACCTTGTGAAATAAGCGTTGCTGCGTCAGGAGCAATCGTCAATTTTAGATTCTCGACCACGCTTGGTCCATCGTCGCAATTGTCAATTTTATCGCGGGTTTGTTCCAGCTTTTTTATCATGTACTTCGCAGTCTTATCGAATTCATTGACACGTTGTTCCAGAGAAGTAAGCTTTTTGTACGAATCATATCGATAATTTCCAATCGGACTGAATGGAGTTTGATCACTTGGTGATATTACCTTGATACTTTTTTCTCCCAAATTACTCGCATGAGGTGTCTCGATTCGGCTCTGTAATTGTAGTGTTTAAATGAAAAATATAAAAAAAATTGTTCTTCGTATCAATGTAATGGTGTATGGTTCATTGAAAAGAACGAAGCCTTGAAGGTTGGTTGTGGTTGTGGAATTGTAATTATTTTTGTACTTGGCATCACATAATAAAATAAATTCTATGTGATTAATCATATAGATTTTCATGCGAATTAGTGGTGCACATCCGGGACGGGACTTGACAATCGAGCTTCTCACTCTTCTTAATGTTTTTGAAGAATGCCCTTCGGAAACTTGTGCGTGGTGTTTGACGGAGTTGACCAAGGATGCCAGGAATGTAAAATATTTATTCTATATTAATTTGGATTTTATGCGGAGTTCCTTCCGCAGCTTAGCAACATGTGCATCATTTTTGCTCAACACAATAAAAACAACCATAAACAAACAACAATATCCAACGCTTAAAACACGCAATGCACTCAATTTTTCAACTTTCCTTTCGCAAATATAAAAAAAATTAACAATGCCATTCACGTCAACATTGATTCCGGCATCACTGCTAGCCAGATTGATGCGATCCCTCTGTCCTTTTTATTCCACGATTGCTACTGTCAAATCGACCAATCAGAAACTGGCTCGGATTTGACAGCAAATTGGCTCGAAATCGCTACCCGATTGTCAAGTCCCGTCCCAGGTGCACATGAATGTTATGTGAAATTCACATGGATATTTCCACTGGTTATGTGATTTATTTTATGAGTGTAGTTACTAGCACAACATTAGCATAAACATAAACTTTACCAAGCCCATTTGAAACGAGATATTTTCTCTACAATTTGAGACTACAACTTTACATTTTAAAACTCGATGGTCTCTTCAATAACGAGTTATCGAGAGTTGACTGTATTGTGAGAAGAAGTGCCCAACTATAATTTTTGATTTGGGCTCAAATCGATTAACGTACCCCATTTTAGTCGAAATTCTAGTACTACACTATGGTTGTTTTTATTAGCTATGAAAGTTTGACAGATAAAATAAGGGGTTCGTGGATTTTCCTATGGTTAGAGGGGTGCATCGATTAGCTTGGGACCGAAGAGAGTACCAGAGCTGAGCCAAAAAGTTGAGCACATTTCTTCGGGACCTTCTAGTCTTAGAGTTATTTCTATGCTTGAGGGTAAAAGCATGGAAGAACGTCACCAGAAAACTGAAGAAAAAAAACTTTTCCAACCGAATTAAGACGTGCAGTTAAACTTCGATTGGAACAGCTTTTTGCAGACGTCCAAACTTTTACTAGAGGTTTTCAGCTAAAACATCAACATTATAGACGACTATTTCAACTACCGTTATACGCATGTCTCACGGTACATGAGCATTGCATAGAATATGGAACTGTTATGCGTATAACAGCGTAAACCTGAAGCGAGAAGCGCAGCGCGGAACTGGAAATGCTTATGTTGATACAAGCCATTCTTGAGAGACATTCCGAGACTCCATCTATTCCTAGGAAAAAAATGTAAAAGAATATTGTACCGTGTCACTGTCCGAGTCGGTGGCCATTTCGATGGAATATCGTGGAATGTCTTCATCTTCTGAAAATACTAGCAACTCGTCATAGTTCTCCTTATCTGAGCTATAAAAGCTGTCTCGTTCGTCGAATACCAAATCCCTGAGACCTGGATGATTTTTTGACGCCTCCTCAACATTCAGGCATATTTTATCGAAATCTCTGAGTACATCAATAGAAGACTTTTGTGGAAGTATGAGTTTTTTGCTTATTCTCAATTGCTTTGGAGATTGAGATTGTTCACCGCCTATTTGGACGGTATTTATTGGTTTACTCGATTTAGGTGTACTCGTTGTTATCCTGGTCAATGGCTTAGAAACATTCATTTGCTTTTTGTCAGGCTTCGGCGATGGGCAGCTGGTATCAGTGTCGGAAGATGCATCTATTATATGTACTGTTTCAACATATTCGGGTTCAACAAATTTACATGACTCGAGAATGTTGATCGTGTCAACTACTTGACCATGCATGGTTACATCTGAGGAAGGCATATTAATACTCCGAACGGACATTTTAGCGCTCATATTTTTCTCTTTTACTTCAACTACTGAGCACTCACTGTAGTGATGACTCACTGTCCTCGTTTCGGATTTAGCTTGCTGCAATGGTTCGGCACTGGATATGCAAGAAAACAAAGCACTTGTTTCTACCAGCCTGAACGTGGCGGGTAAAATATCAGGCAAAATGTTTGACTGTTGTTCGAGGTTCCTAACGGATATCTCTTTCGCTTTGGATTCCTTATTAGTTGGTGATAAATTAAGCGTTTTGGCACGTCGGTGACGAACTGTATCACTGAGGACAACAAACTCTGCATGGTCTTCCTTCTCATTAGGTGTTATTTCTTTCAATGCATCCTGGAAGATCGTACATTATTCTTTGAAATACTCCGATATAAATTAGATTGGTATGACACCTTACAGGAATTTATTTACATGGTTGTGTAAAACCGATTCCAATACAGAATATAGTACACTCCCCTTTGATTACTTTCACTGTGAATACTGAAGAATGTTGGCGTCTTAGTGGAAAAACTGAATAACTCGAGTCGAGTATTAGTACAATACACTGAAGAAGTCTGCACATTGTAGACGAAATACGCGTATCTGTCAAGGATAAGCAAATAAGGTAGTGCAATTAAATGGAAATTACTAATCCTCTCTCTCTCTAATTATTAAAGTTACAATTATTAACGATTGAACGCTTTCGGAGTGTGATTCACAAACACCGCCCGAAATAATGTGATTCAAATATCTGCTATTGAAAGTACATTTACTATACGTTATGGAAAACAATTTTAACATTACTAAGGAAAAGTTGATTTCATTTCCATCGCAAAACAGGTTTACCCATATGGCTGAAACCTGATTGAAGGCTTAACCGTTGAAGAAAGCGGTCCTAAAGCGATTTATTTATACGCCTAAAAACAAGTGAATCTTCTAAAAGCTTTATACAAAAAGAGAGAATATCGCAGATTACAGAATGGATTTCTAAAACAAGGCCATTAAAAAATATATATGTTGTCACTAACTACAGGGACACCTCGACATTACAGACATTAGACAGCAGACATTAGCAAATTAGAGGCATACGAATAAATCATTGTGCAGCTAAAGGAGAAGTTCAATTCCCCTAGAGCTGACAGAAAAGATCATCAGTATTGCCAAAGTCTTGGTCCGTGAATAAAGTTGTAGCAGAATTCAACGCACCAACGTACATGGTGAGGCAGGTGAAGAGCCTTGTTAATGAGCAGGGTATTCTAAGCACACCCAACAAAAGAAGTGGGCATGGGATCAACGATGATATAAAAAACTAGTTAGGGAATTTTTAGATGACAATGATATTAGAAGACCTATGCCCGGAACAAATGATTTTGTTTCCGAGTTTAGAAATGGACGAAAAGAACACGTTCAAAAACGCCTGTTAATGATGTCCCTCAAAGAAGCGTACATGATTTTTGTTGATAAATATAAAGATATTAATATTGGTTTCACTGTATTCACACAATTGCGACCAAAACATTGCATTTTGCTTGATTCTACTGGTATACATAATGTATGTATTTGTACAATTCATGAAAATGTAAAATTAATGATCAACAGTTTAAGAATTATGTCACAAGATGCAATAATAGAAAAAATGCTTTGTAATATTTCTACTAGAACAACTGATTGCTTTTTCCGTGCTTGCGAAAAGTGTGCTTCCAAAGAACATATTGAAGAGGAACTTACTTTTTCATTGGAATCAAATGACAAACAAGATGTTGTGTTTCAACAGTGGCTGAATACTGATCGTTGTAATTTGGAAACGATTATCAAGCCTGTTGATGAATTTGTTCCGTATTTCATTGATAAAATTAACAAACATATAACTCATGACTTTATTTACAAACAACAGTCATCTTTTCTAAGAAATAAAAAAGAATCATTAAAAGAAGGCAAAATTCTAGCAATTTGTGATTTTTCTGAAAATTTCATTCATTATCCAAAAAGCTGCTCAAGGATATCACTGGAATAATTATCAAGCAACAATACATCCATTTTATTAAACAATCGATAGATTTTTCTAAAATTACTATGTAATATGTCAGATGGGGCAGCATCACAAAACAAAAATCAAAAAAAAACTTTGCTAGTCTGTGTAGATTTCAGTCAAAGCATGGATTAGAAGCAGAATGGCATTTTTTTGCAACGTCTCATGGAAAAGGTCCCTGTGATGCCATTGGTGGCACTCTCAAGCGAATGGCAAAGAGAGTTGGTCTTGCTCGAGATTATGGAAACACCATAACAACTCCACGAGAATTATATAACTGGGCAGTTGAACAAACAGATAAAAATATCACAAAACTACGTTTCGAGTACACATCCACTGAACAGTACATCGAAATGTCAGAAGAACTCGAAGAACTATATAACAGCACAAAGACAATATCTTGAGCTTGAGCTTGAGCTTGAGCTTGATTGACCGCCCACGGTTGCTACTCTGTTATTGTCAGATCAGCTGTAATTACACAGAGAACCAATAGACGATGCTTGGGACTAGCAATCATCTTCAATGTGTAAAAACTGGTGATCTTAAATTAGGCAATACCAGCGCCGGCCGCGCCCGAACACAGGTCACGAAAGGAATGGGAAGGATTGTGTTGACACTCGCTTTGATGGAAGCCGAGAACACCTCTGCACTTCCACGAGGAATCACTGGGATGTTGGATAAGAGGGTTGGGTTTGCAGCAGGGTTCGTTTTGGTAAACGATAAGCTGAATTGATGTCCTAACGATCATATAACGCGAAGGAGCTTGGGACTAAACCCACGGTCTTCTGCTCAGTAAGCAAAAACGTTTGCCACTAGGCAGACGAGCACCTTTTTAATCACCGAGTTACTGTTATTACCATGTAGTCATATTAACAAATAAAACGATTGACGAATCTTGAATGTGGATGGGCCTGAGATTAGACTCATGATGTTCTGCTCAGTAAGCAAAAACGGTTGCTCTAAGGCCACCGAGCCCCTCATATCACATAATACCGTTGCTCAAATTTTTGTATCCATTCAAACCCGGAACCAACGACAACAACGAGTTTCGCAAAATACACGATACACAAGCGATTTTACCATAAATCTCTTTGATATGTAAGGACCTGGGACCGCGTTTTTCTGCTCAGTAAGCAGGCCACTGTAACCGACGATCTTTCAAATCCGAAAACTAAAAACTACGAAACAGTACTTAGGCCTTCATTAAGTTCCACTTTCACGCGACGTTCAATGTTTCAATTTGCTCTTTACGTATTGTTCAGGCTATAAATAGGCTCTTTTCAAAAGTTACGCGAGAAATACGCACAATCGTCGCCTACCTCGCAAAACTGGTTCCAAACGACAACAAAGGCATAAGCAACGATGGATTGTTGAACTTTGCTGGCTGGTGTAGTGCTGCTGAAAAAAGATAAGTCTATTATTTTGGTTAGTGATCGTTTGGATTTGGGTCACCCCACGTTGTGTTTAGGTTAGTATAAATAAATAATACTATTTAGTCATATAAATCACTACAGCTCATTATCTTCAGCGTTATCGGTTTTCGTTTCTGGATCTTTAGTTGCCTCTGTGATATACTTACTTGCGGCATACTATTTTGGGAGTGTATATGAGCGTGTACCATGTACGGTAGCTCATCTCTCATCGTGATGGTGGGACATAGTAGACAAATTAGAGAGAAAACAATGAGGTATTAGTATTAGTTATATGTAAACAAACAAAACAAAAGAAGAGAAGAGGAAAGAAGAGCAGACAAATAAAAAAGGGATGAAGTAGATAACAAATAAAAGGAACGTAGGCAGATTATTAGAAAAGGCATTATCCGAGACTCGGCAATCAAATGTCACTCCCGCCGAGATCTCAGCGAAACCCCCTCCCCGCCGAGACCCACACAGCCGAGCTCGGTAGAAAAAACAAAGTGTGTAGATAGATTAGTAGGAAAATAAATAAAACTACTTTATGACTCAAAGTGCAATGAATGATCGTTAGTTTCGGGATCATTTCAGTGTTAGAGTTATGTTAGTTTTTATCCGTAATCAGCCCTGCTGACCCCTCCAACATTAGTTGCAGGCAGTGGTTGTTAGATAATGCGGCACTGTAACTACTTCTATTTTAGAGGTATGATTCGTCAAGTTTATACAACTCAATGTTTCAATTGAGCCAAACTATCTGTCTTACAATTACAAAAGCAAACCGAAACTTACAATTATATGCAAATGCAAAATGAAACTTGACAAATCATCGTCAATTCCTGACGATTTGAATCTAATTTTGATCAGTGAACGGGCACCATATGGTACATTTTCTCACCATGAACCTATCATTTCCAGCCTATCTGAACTATTTAATAAATGGAAGCCATAACATGGGTTACGCTCCCCCTAAGCGGGCCTTCCGCATCCTGTCTCTGTCTTAACTCAAATACAAAATGCCAATGGTATGAATGTATCTATATAGGGTAAATGTTGGCTTCGGCACCCATTGACTGTTTTCGGCAACCAAAATTTAAACGTTAATTTCACTATGTTTTCCCATCAACGCACTTCCCTGAATGTGTCCAAACGATTGTTTAGCCTTTCAGCTTTAATCTGATTATATTTGAACGATCGAGCAATCCAGTAATGCTACATTTTTTTTTCAAATAAAGCATACGCACTACAAAATGAGGTTGATTTCGAGTTGCCGATAATAGAACAGCTGGTTAACACGCAGTTCTAATGGGAAGGTTGCCGAAGAAAAAGAGACTGCCGCAATAGTCACACTCACCTGAGAAGTTTGGAGCGTTGTAAAAACGCTTTCAAAACGTTTTGAAAAATTCTGTCGATTGGAATGGATAGAGAAGCAAGCAGCAGACACATCAGACACATCATATATGTGCGTGACGCTGAGAAAATGCTAGTAGAAGTGCAGACGCTGCTTAGATTGACGAGAATACGTAAATTCCCCTATATTGGTCAGGCTTCAGAATCGTCCAGTGGGCAGTGCGCTCTACACTCCAAGTTACCTTTTTTTCAAATTTACCGCAAATTTGATATTTTACCCATTGAGTGTTGATTAGTCACAATGAAACATTGTGACAGAAGTTGAGGTTACTAGTGTATTAAATAATCTAGGTCCTATTTAGGATTACATCTGAAAAATCCAAATCTGGCCAACGCCCACCCTAAACCTAAACCTGTTCTAATCCACCTGAAATGACTAACGTATGGAAGACTTTGACTACCCAGCCATGCAATAGTCTCATTCCGTGCCTTATGGCAACTTGATGATTCTATTGCGCTCATCTTCTTGCACCACCCAGGGGAGACTTGGTCCTGTACCCAATGCTTAACTTATCTCCTTTCCACTCAGCTACTCGCAATTTCTTGTGATATAGTGGGCGGAATATTATTATATGAGACAATTCAATGCAGACGTCTTTCCAAATTTGGCAGATCGACAGGTAATCGGTGAGTTACCACGATAGTTGCTATTCAACAACTCGACAACGTCCCATCGTCAACGCCTGCTATGAGAATTTCCCATTGCAGACGCCAACGAAATGACGTCATCGAGCTATCGATCAACTACCCTGGTTATCGCCTGGTACCTTATAGCACGATGCTAGGAGGCGAACCGGAAGAATCGATGAGCTACCTCCCCCAACAGCACAAAGACAATATCTGGCACACAGAAATTCCACAGTTTTGTGACTATAACTGGTGACAAAGTAGCGGCAAAAAGGTATTCTAATTCAGAAGATGAACCAAACATAGGGTAAATGTTGGCTTCGGCACCCATTGACTGTTTTCGGCAACCAAAATTTAAACGATAATTTCACTATGTTTTCCCATCAACACACTTCCCTGAATGTATTCAAACGATTCTTTAGTCTTTCAGCTTCAATCTGATTATTTTGCTACGACCGAGCAATCCTATTATGCCAGATTTTTCTTCAAATGAAGTATACGCACTACAAAATGGGGCTGATTTCGAGTTGCCGATAATAGAACAGCTGGTTAACACGCAGTTCTAATGGGAAGGTTGCCGAAGAAAAAGAGGCTGCCGACAATAGTCACACTCACCTGAGAAGTTTGGAGCGTTGTAAAAACGCTTTCAAACCGGTTTGAAAAATTCTGTCGATTGGAATGGATAGAGAAGCAAGCAGCAGATGAATGTTAACAAACAGACACGTGATATATGTGCGTAACGCTGACAAAATGCTAATAGAAGTGCGGACGCTGCTTAGATTGACGAGAATACGTAAATTCCTCTATTTAACTTGATTGGAAAAAGGAAAAAAATAGCATGTATGAAAATAGGTTTAAAACATTGAAAATATATAAATAAATGATATATGAAATATCTTGTCTTTTTCTCTCACATATTATCAAATTTTGCATCAGTAGGGGAAACGCTCCTATAGTTGCGGTACGTTAGAAGCGTTAAGTTCCTTTAGTTGTGTATTTAGTCTCCATACACAACTATAGGAACCTAATGCATCTAACGTACCGCAACTATAGGAGCGTTTCCCCTAGTAGACAACAGAATAAGGGAATGATATTTTTTTTTACAAGGTCGACATGTCCAAATAGTTTTATTGAACTCTGAGAGGGTGCTGCCAATTCCAAATACGATTTGGCGAGAAATGCATCATGAGCCCTTTTCATACGAAATTCTCGATAAATCAAAGTGGACTTAAGTGCTGATTAGACAAAATTGAATCGCAAATTGAGCTTCATTGGATTCTGAGATGATTTTGAGTTTCACTGGTTTAATTTTGTGTGAAAATGGCAAATAAAAAAAAAAAAAAAATCAGTTCAGACATGAAAAAGTTTTTGTAAGAAAAACTTTTTTTTCCTTAAAAGTGCCCATCTCGCGATGTATGGACGGATGGTAGTTCAGACATGAAAAAGTTTTTGTAAGAAAAACTTTTTTTCCTTAAGTGCCCATCTCGCGATGTATGGACGGATGGTAGTAAACATAATTACATATCTTGAGGCAAAGTTTCATCCAAATCAAACATGGCCATTTTTTTAAATCGACTTTAAATTTTAAAAATCGATTTTTTTCAGTGTAGGTCTCAAATGAAATTTTTTCTAGTATTTTTTTCCGATAACTTGGACACATTTTTGTAGGAGTTGTCATTTTTCCATAATATTTTGAAAAAATCGGCAGTAAAAGTTTGGCCCTTCTAAAATGTTAATCTAGATAAATTTTGGAAAAACTAAGTATGCAGAGTGGCATATTAAGTCACCACACATCCAGAAAGTTTCATTGAAATCTGAGAGGGTGCTGAAAGCTCCGAATACGATTTGGCGCGAAATGCGTCTTGGGAAACCATTAATGGACAGCTATTTACACACACCATCAAACACTGGTTCCACTATTGCTCAGAAGAGGCGTTGCCGTTACTGTCTCCTGAATTTTGGCAGAGTTGCCAGTCTTCTTGATTTGTAGTCTTCGCTTGATTGCAATCCGTCATTGTCACTCTCTCGCTCTCTCGTCATCGATATCACTAGTGGCGCCATCTGTTTGTCAGTACATGTACTACAATTAGAGCAACTCCATCGTTCGTTGCTAACCGCATGAGAAGCAAAGTTCCTCATGGCCATAACGGAAGTTTGTCATAGCTGCGCGCGCAGCATTACCACTGGGAAAGTGGTTTGCGGTGGTTTTTGTTAAGCTGCCTTCCACTACAGTTGTGCACAAATAACGGATGAACTGTACAAAGAAATAAGCGGTAAGTCTGCTATTTTTTGGATGTGTAAAGGATGCCGCGACATCATGGGTAACGCTCGCTTTAAAAACGCTATGACATCAACGAACGCGGCTGCGATCGAACTCAACGACAGGTACCAAAAAATAATTGAAGAGATCAAGAGTGAGATAAAAGATAGCCTACCGAAATTAGGCAGGAGATCCAGGGTGGATTCAACAAGCTCTCTCCAGCAGTGCTATCTCCTCTTCCTCCTCAAATGTTCACGTTTGGTAATCCAAAAACGCCGTGACGACGAATCATCGGCATCCGATCAGCCAAACAAAGTTTTACGTGGCACAGGCCAATCAACTCTCAACGTGACATCAGCCGCAATGAGTAGATCCGACGACAAGTTCTGGCTGTATCTAACAAAAATATCACCAGATGTATCGAAGGCAGACATCGAGAAACTTGCCAAAGATTGTTTGAATACGGATGAAGTTGTTGCCAAATCCCTGAAACCCAGAGGACGGCCTTTGTCAGCTCTGTCCTTCTTTTCATTCAAGGTTGGAGTCAATCTCGAAATGAAGACAAAAGCGATGGATCCTTCGTCTTGGCCACAAGGTATCGAATTTCGGGAGTTCGCTGATGTTGAAAGGAGAACGCATAATTTTTGGAAACCGGTACTGCACATAGAT